TCTCTGGTCCTTCCCTTCCCCTGCTGGTGGGCTAAATCACTTCTACAGACACAGAAATGATAGCTTTCACCTTAAAGGAAAGAAAAGATAGTTTGTTCTAGAGCTAAATTGGAGTGCCCATGGCTCAGGAACATAGATTTAGATCACTCCAACCCCAAGTTCCATGGTCCAGTGTGGAAGCAGTCTCATGAAGCCTTAACATTTTACAGAATCAAGAAAATATGTCAAGGCAACTTTAAACTACATTGGTGGGCTCATCAGAGGTGCTTACAGAGAGGGGAGCCCCTAAGCCTCACATCTGATGGCATTCTCAGTTTTGGAGTTGATGGAAGCTAGTGTCCTGCTATGGTAGTGTATTTCAAAAGTTTTTATTGATTAGTCACAGGAGGTTGGTTCTGACACACAGGGGCCAAGGATGGCTCTTGTGGAGGCTAAATCTAGCTCAAACTAAGCTAATTAGTCCTGGACCTACAGCATTCCAACCTCTGTATATCAGTGAAGTTATACTCAGTGGATCAGTCTCTCCAGACAGCTTCTTACCAGGAATTCCTGTTCACAGTTCTATGGAAAACTTTAGGAAATAAAGCTGAACTACTTGGAGCAAAGTTTTGGAGCCCAGTGGAGTTTATATTTAATGAAGGTTCATGGTAGGAGGAAGAGAATGACAGATGATACAGTAACAGGTATAGAGGAAAGATGGTGACCATTGGGATGGGATAAAAGGAGGATACAGAGAGTTTGTACGAGGTCTGAAGCTTGTTGGTGAGTGAAATAAGGTCTAGCCCTAGCAAGCAAAAGTCATGCTGAGTGTCTGAGCTCCAAAGGTGTGATCACTCCAGACCACCACTGGAAGCCTTGAAAGCCGGCCTTCTCCAAGACAGAAATTCTCTGAGATGAAGGGACAGAAAGGGAAATGAAGAATGAGCCAAGGAGAAAAGTCAGAAGGGACCCCACAGTGACTGAGAGATGGGAGAAGAGTAAAGTGAAGACAGCCTTGCCATAGGGAAGGAAATGTAGAGGCAGGCTGGAGCTTGTGTGGCAGCTTTTGGTCTCCGGGGTGCTGTGGTGATTCTGAGGTGCTCTCTGAGGGTCTCTCCCTGCCGTTGTTTATGAAGCTCAGCCAGACTTCTTGTTAACTGACAGCCGGAGGTGCCCTCAGATTTGATGTCCTCAAACTGATTTTAAGAGAACATGTTGGGATATGAGGAGGGTCTAGGCAGGAAATGTTCTTACGGCCATTCCATTGCACCCTGGGAGGGCAGGTGCTGCGGACAGAGTGCTTTAGCATAGGCGTAAGGCAGAGGGGGCTTGGAGCAGAGGGATAAATGTCCACCCACCTGCTCTTCTCCTTTATCTTGGGTCCATTCCAGGCTCATCTAGCAAGCCAAGCCTGGAGACCAACCAAAGGTGGGGCTGTTTTCCAGGTGCAAGCATGGTCACCACTTGCCCTTAAAGCTGTCTGTGGTACCAGCTGGCTTAAGAAGCCTTTAAGTTACACCAGATCTCAGATTCTGTAATTACAGAAGAGGTCTCTGAGCCAAAATATTTGGCAGGATTAATTTGGCACCGTCGACAGAATCTGCCTGAGTATGATTTTGTTTGGTGGTTTGTTTTTTGTCTTTGTTTTTTGGAGTGAGGAAAGAGGCTTAGAAACCAAGGGAACCACAGGTAAGTTGGTTTGTAAGAGAACCTCTACTATGAGGCCCAGGACTCCCTGGGGGAGGCTCTGGTTCAGTGATAGGATGAAGTATTGTTGAGACAAGGCAGAAGCAGCCATCAGAGGGTGCCAGGACCCTCTCTTACACTGTCTCTGCAGGTTCATAGAGAAACGCCACCCCTCTTCATAGTTTGGAATCCTTGGGGTTTTAGTGTAATTTAGTTTTTGTTTTGTTTTTTTAATGTTTGTATTACATTATTTAGTATTTGTGCCCCTGTGCGCACATGCGCAGTCTATAGTGGAGGTCAGAGAACACCTGACCCTACCCCCGCCTCTCTTTCTGACCTCTTAGCTTTTGGTATCCCCATTCTTGGAGAAATTGTTGTCCCGGGACCATTTGTTCCACGCTGTGGAAAGAGATGCCCTGGGCACATAAGGCTTTGCATGCGGCCATCTTGTCGCTCCCAGGCAGTGGCTCCCAACGTCCCTAACGCAGCGACCCTTAAACACAGTTCCCTGTGTCGTGACCCCCGACCATAAAATTATTTTCATTGCCACTTCATCACTGTCATTTTACTACTGTTCACAACCTTAACGTGAGTGTCTGATATGCAGGATATCTGATGTGCGACCAATGTGAAAGGATCCTTCTGACACCCCCCCCCAAGGGTCACGACCCACAGATTGAGAACCCATGTTCTGGCGCAACAGTACCAGTGAGTTTTTCCAGAGTGGTGGTAGGAGTGAGGCAGGATTCAGTCTCTCAAGAGCCATTGGGTGAACAGGACACCACCTAGGCAGAGGGAAAGCACAGTCTACCCCATCCATCTTCGTTCCCCCGGGATCCCTCTTGGTCTCCATCCGGATGAGGGAGAAAGACAGACACTCCGGCCTTTGAACACGCTGCGCCAGCAGAGGCTCAGCTCACTTCCCCTATCTCACCAGGCTAAAAGTAGCATGATCTTGGAAAATTAACTTAGTGAGTCATAATTTTCTCTCATGAGAAGCGATGAAAGTTTCACTTGCCACCAGTTATAACTACAGATCACGTGAAACGCTCAGAGGTCTCTGTTGCAAAATCGGAATGATGCGATTTTTGAATAATGCAAACCTGACAGTTTTATTACCTTCATACGAAATCCAGAAATAGAATGATTCTTTTTGTTTGTTTGCTTTTGTTTTTTCGAGACGGTGTTTCTCTGTGTAGCCGTGGCTGCCCTGGAATCGCTTTGTAGACCAGGCTGGCCTCAGAGTCACAGAGGCCTACCTCTGCCTCCCTGAGTGCTGGGATTAGAGGCCTGTGCCATGGTGCCTAGCGAATGAGGGTTTTGTTTTGTGTAGGAATCAAAAGAAGAACACACAGAAGTAGTTCCTCCCGACCTTTTTTAGAGACCTGTCCTTACTTCCTTGGGGAGGAACTGAGGATATGACGTGTCATAATGGAATGTGGAACATGACTGGGGAAGGGAAAACACACCAGGGGCCTTTAGAGAGCCATGGAGAGAGGACGGTGCCCTGGGGAGGTGCGCATGCTCAGCAGCGTCAGGTGATTCAGGCTGTCAAGAGGGAGGAGTCAAAGTCCTTGCTCCTGCAAGCCTGAGAGAAGGGACTTGAGAAAGGGCCGTTGGATTTTGGAAGAACAGTTTTCTTGGTGACCTTTGATGGTAGCGAGTGTTGTTTAATAATAAATGCCTTGTCTAGAGTCGTATCCTTTCACCTTTACCTCACCACGTGGCGAGGTGCTCATTACCGTTCTCAGCTCCCAGATGTCTGCAATGCCTACCGAGGGGATTAAATTCAGCCTGCAGACTAGTGAGAAGCAGGGGGGTCAGGCTTGGTCACCTGCTCTGATTCCATCTCTCCGTGTAGCACTTCCTCTGGGGGCTTCATTCTGCAGATGGAGGCAAGGCGGGGCTGTAGGCCTTTCTAAGGGTGTTCGTGAGGAGGCAGAGTTAGCAAAGGCAGGCATTTGATCAGATACTCGACTATAAGGGAAGGAAAACTAGTAAGGTCGTCCCCCCTCCCTGAAAAGCCTTCTATTGGAATTTATTAACAAGGGGAAATACAAGGTGCTGAGGGACAAGGAGGTGAGATTTCTGCCCAGTGGGCTTGCCCAGGGGTCTTCTGGGTATTTGACCTTTGCTAGGATGGATAAACCCTACAGTGTGGTTTTTTGTTTGTTTGTTTGTTTTGTTTCCTTTAAGTTGAGCAAAACATGAAGGTGAAGCCTTAAAGACAAAATTGTCACAGGAGTTTGCCGGAGGATCACGGGGACTGTATGGAGTTTGATCTTGATTTCCCAGTGTGACCAGTGATATCAAAAATGCCCCATTGGCCCTAGAATGGCTGTTACTCCTGACCTTACCACTCCCACAATCCTCCTCTGCTTGCAGCCCTGTGTTCGCTCTCCTCCTCCAGCTTCTTCTTCCATTTTGGATTCCTTGGGAGTTGTCCTGCTATGTGGCTTTTGTCTGGCTTACTGCTGTCTCTGAAACAAATGTAGTCTTAACGGAAGGAAGTACCCTCTTCAGAGTTCTGAGAATCATGTGTACCTCAGGACTGGCTTTCCTTGATTGGTTTCTTCTCAGGCCGTGGGGGGTTCAAGTCCACTTGAATGAAGAAGAGCTACAGAGTTTAAACAAGGGAAGAATGTATTCTCCTTTGTCATAGTCAGTGTCACTATGTAGCTACTTGGGCTGATGGGAGTGTTAGGCATAAGAAAGCATGTGAACTAAGTTACTGTGAAGCTGTGGAGGTGGGATTTCTCGTCAGGTGATAAGCCAGTGAGGGGAGACGTCAGCCAAGGTTGTGGCCCATGTTCTCACCAGACCCCCGGTGCCTGAGGCCCACTACAAAGTATGCCAGAGTGCTATCCGTCTTCCCCTGGGCTCCTGTCACTGGCTCATCCCTGAGGCCAAGAGTTTGCCCTAAGAAGTGATTGGAAAAGCAGGGGCCACGGCTTCTCTCTCTGTGGGAAGCCAGGAGCGGGTTCTCCAGGGTGCTCCCCTCAGATAGGGAGAAGGCTTGGGACCCATGCAGGGACTTACGCGACAGTGCCGCAGCTCTGTCCAACCACAGAGCAATCGCCTGTGTATCTGCAGCTGCAGGTATTTCCTGAAGGCAAGCCAGATGTGCTGAGAACATTTCCTTGAAGGAAAAGGAAAGAAAACGAATAGCTGGCTTCTTTAATGTCAAGCTAATTTAAAGAGACAGGGGATGCCCTTGGGACATGGCGTGAATGACTAACCCCAGGATTCGACAAATTAGACAGGGGGAGAATTGAAGCTAAGAAAAGGGAGGGGAAGGAAGTGTTCTCAATTCTTTTTTCTTTTCTTCTTCCTAGCAAGAACCAGTTGAGTCATCTTTGGGGCTTAGTAATGGAGTAAGTGACTTTTCTCCTGAGTATGCGGTCCTGACTTCAGCTATAAAAAATGAAGTGGATAGTACGGTCAACATCATAGGTAAACTGTTTTGACATCTTCTTTTTATACTCACGAGCAGCCTCTGAGGTCTAACCATTTGTAAAGCACTCATCTCTAAATAGCACAAGTCAGTAAGAGAAGGTCTTGGAATACATCCAAATCCAAGTTCTCGTCCCTAGGTTTCAGGGTTTTGAAGATGAGATAAAGGTTTGTAGACGAGACAGAACCAAGAAAAGAAGGCTAGGCGCTTGCGAGGCTTCCTCATTGTTTAGTCACGTGGACAAAAGTGTCATTTCTTTAACTCGGGAACCAAGGCGAGGAAAGGTCATCTTTGGGAGTCCTCCCAGTGTCTGCCTTGTATGCACCCAAGGGTGCCCTCATTTTATAGGCCAAGAAACCAAGGCTCAGAGGCTTCTGTCAAGGGACTGGCTGTCTGCACTGCCAGGTTTGCTGGAGATTTTCTACCGTCCAGATGCAGCTCTGTGAGCGGGAAGAAAGCAGGGAACAAGTTAGGCTTGATTCCTATTTTTGTAGGGACACTCTGAACAGGCAAAGCTACAGGGAAGCGTAGCAGCCACACTTGGTGGTCTGTGATACAAAGGAAGGAAACGGGAGATTAAGAACAACCTAGAAGCCAGATTTACGGGGTAGGGCGGGTGTCCTCGGAAGAGTGACGTTCCCCGATAGTGGGTGTGTGAGGAGCAGCAGGTGACAGGTGGAGGAAGGCTTGATGCTGACAGAAACCCTGGGTAGACAAACATCCAAGGCAACTGAAAGCAGGCCAGGGATGCATAGTTCAGGAAGCATGGTGACTGCTCATAAGGTCCTCTCAGAGGTAGAGGTTTTTCTGAGGGTATTCTTGGCTGTCAGCTTGACTACATCTGGGATTACCTAAAGCCTCACACCTGTGGGGGACCCCCCTCCTTATTTAAATCAGGTGAAGCAAGAAGACGTGCTTGAAGTCCAGAGACTTCAAGGTGGGAAAATCCACCTTTAATGTTGGCCACACCTTCTGCTGGCAGTCAATATAAAAGACACGGAAGAAGAAAGAGTTTTGGTTTTTGCCTGCTTGCCCTCACACTCACTCTCAAGTCCATTCCTACACTGGCATTAGAGTCTACTTCTTTAGGATTATGGCATGTACTGAAGACCAGCTGGACATCCAGCCTCATGGACTCAACAACCACTGAAGTTTTGGACTTTCTGTTGGTACACAGCCATTGTTGGAGTAGATGGACCACAGCCTATAAGCCACTGTAAGAACTCTCTCTCTCTCTCTCACACACACATTCATCCTATTAGTTCTGTTCATCTAGAGAATCTTCACTAACACAGATTTTGGTATCAGAAGCAGTTCTAGAACAACAGAAATATAAGGATGGATGTTTTAAGTATCTGGAGTAGGGTTTTCAATTTGCCAACAACCTACAGTCACTGAAGCCTCTCCTAGAATCTCAGAGAATATTAAAAGCCTGTGGTGTGAACTATTTTTACAAACTAAAGGAGATAAATGGGTTAGATTATCTCGATTCATCAGTTGTGATAGGCAAGAGATTTGGTGACCCTGTAGAGAAAACTTTTGACAATTTGTGGAAAAGTAAAGAAAATAAGGATGATTGTTGAGTGCTCCTAGCATCCCTGTATAATTTGAAAAAGGAAAAAGAATGAACTCCAAGTTAAAATCAACCAACTTGTGACATCTCAGGGTACTGTGAGGGACCACAGTGGACTCGGTGATAAAACTGACCAGCTTCAAATGGGCAGGGACAGCGTAACATTCGCTAAGTGTGCCCTGGAAGAGGATCTTCTTTCCAGAGTGCGAGTTGCAGAAAATAAAGCCAAAGCCCTCGTTATAAGGTTGACTGAATAACAGCGAAAATTCAAGTCCCAGCTTTGGAGGATGTTGGCTCTTGACATTAGGGCATTAATTGGTAAAGAATGGGCTCCTGTAACTTGGGGTGGAGATGTGTGGAGGAGCCTATTGAAGCTGGAGCTTTGAACCCTTAGGTTCTCAAGTGTTTATCTCACCCGAGGAAGTGGTCCTTCCACCCTCAGAGATGTACTCATCTCACCCCCTCAAATATTGCCTCTTTCACCTGTGACTGAAGAAATTAGCCCTTCGTTGTCTGCCAAACCAGCACTGACTTGCTCTGAAGGAGATGCCAGGCAAGACAATACTGATGTCTCACCAATAGTTGCCACTAGACCTCTAACCAGACTGAAGGTTAAACCAGCTCCCAGAAGAGAGACAGAAAGTGTAGACCCTAAGGAAGTGTACCGCATACATTACTAAGTAGCTTAACGAGTTGCCAATCCATTCAAGCAGAAGTCTGGGGAATGTGTGTGGGAATGGACTTAAGGGTCTAGGATAATCGTGGAAGGGGATTAAACCAGATCAGGCTGAGTTTATTGACATGGGCCCTCCCAGTGGAGATTCCAGGTTTAATATGGAAGCTAGCTCAGTTAAAAAGGGTGCCAAAAGTTTGCAAGAATGATTGACTGAAGCATTTATCAAAAGATGCTCTACCGGAAAAGAGTTGGAGGTGCCTGACATCCCTTGGCTTAGTGTTGATGAAGAGATTTTAAGGCTCGGGGAGATTGCAGTGCTAGAGTGGGTACGCTGTGTTATGCCCAGTTCTTCAAATGGGAAGGCCCTGAAGACATGCTCCTCACTCATCCTACAAGACAGCAAAATGGTGAGCAGGCCACCAGCCCATATGAAGAGCTTTGTTGCCTTTTCCTTGTGTCAGACCTTAGGGTTGGACACTATTGCTCAGTTGGGTGAATTAAATGCATTGGGTTTAGTTGGGCCTCAGAGTAGGAGTGGCCAGGTGGCAGCTGAATGGTTAAAGGAAAGGTGATCATAGTTACCATAATCGGCAGCATAGAGAAGGCAATGCTAATAATGGCCGAACCTGTAATGGGCATCACAGAGAAAGTGATCTTTATCATAGAATGGCCATAAAAATGGCCTTTTATGGACCTTTGGTACTAGCTAATCAATATGGTGTTTCCAGGCATGTGCTAGATAAAAAGCCTACTGTGTTTTTGTTTGATCTGTATAAGTGGAAAAGTTCTCAAACAAATGAATGAAAGAGTATATTGGATTGTGATGAAAGGGAATCTCAGCCTATAAAACAATTTCCAGACTTGGGCCAGTTTGCAGACCCAGACCCCTTGAATGAAGGAATGGCTGGGCTCCCCTGAGGAAGGAACTTGATAAAATGCCAAAGAGTGTTACTGTTCACCCTTTCTCCAGTCAACCCCCTCCCCCCCCCAGAGGGACTCACACCTTTCACAAGGGTAACTCTATGTTGGCGGAAAGGAAACAATGAGAATTTCCAGGGTCTCTTGGATACTGGTTCTGAATTGACTGATGCTGGGAGATCCCAAGAAACATTGGGATCTTCCAGTTCAAGTAGGGGCTTAATGGAAGCCAGGTGGTTAATGGAGTTTTGGGCAAACTACATCTCACAGTGGGCCCAGGGCGCCCCTGAACTCATCCTGTTGTTAACTCCCCAGTTTCAGGATGTATAATTGGGATAGATGTATTTAGAAGTTGGCATAATGCCTGCCTTGGTTTCCTGACCTGTGAGGTGAGGGCTGTTAGGGTTGGAGAGGCTAAATGGAAGCCACTGGAAAATAATGAATCAAGGACAATATCGCAGTCCGGGAGGAATTAAAGAAATTAGGGCCACCATTAAGGACTAGAAAGGTGCAGGCGTGGTGGTTCCCTTCATATCTCCCTTTACCTTCCCTATCTGGCCATTGCAGAAGACAGATGGCTCATAGAGGAAGACTATCAGAAACTTAATCAAGTAGGGACTCTAATTGCAGCTGCTGTGCCAGCTGTGGTTTTCTTACATGATCAGATTAATAATCTCCTTTAACGCACGTAGCTACTGATTTAGCGAATTTCTTTTTCTGGGTACCTGTCCATATGGACCACCAGAAGCAATTTGCCTTTTTGGCAGGGCCAGCAGTATACCCTTACAGTTTTCTCTCGAGGATATATTAACTCTCCAGCCCGGTGTCGTAACTTCCTTCAAAGAGACCTTGATCATCTGCTTCTTCCAAAAATTATCACATTTGTTCACTATATTGATGATGTGCTGACCGGTCCAAACGAGCAAGATGCAGCAACCACTTTGTACTTATTGGTATTTCATTTGTATCAAAGGATGAGAAATAAATTCAACCAGAAATTCAAGGGCCTTCTACTTCAGTGAGATTTTCAGGAGTCCTGTGGAATATGCCATGCAGAGATATTCCTTCTTCGGTGAAGGACTCGGTCCCTCCCACCACCAAGAAGGAAGCACTAAATGTCAGGACATTTGGTGGGTCTGTTTGAATTCTGAAGAGAGCCCATTCCTCGTGTGTATGCATTACTGCAGCCCAGATTCCTAGTGACTTGGAAAGCTACTTTGAGTGAGGCCTGGAATGAGAGAAGGCTCCTCAGCAGGTCCAGGCTGCTGTGCAGGCTGCTCTGCCACTTGGGCATATGATCCAGAAGACTTGGTGGTACTTGAGGTTTCAGTGGTATATAGAGAGGATATCCGGAGCCTTGGGAAGGCTCCTAGAGGTGAATCACAGAAGAGACTTCTGGGACTTTGGAGCAAGGCTCAACCATCATCTGCAGACAACTGTCCTCCCTCTGAGAGACAGCTCTTGGCCCGCTGTTGGGCCTTGGTGGAAACTGGATGTTTGGTAATGGGCCACAGAGTTACTACATGACCTGAGCTGCCCATCATGAGCCGGGTGTTATCTGACCCACCAGGTCATAACGTTCGGTTGTGTACAGTAGAAATCCATTATCAAACTGAAGTAGTGTGTGCTGAAGTGTGAATAGGCCGGAGCGGTCCCAAAGGCACAGTTTACATTAAGATGTTGCCCAAATGCCCCTGGTTTCTGCTCCCGTGCACATACAGCCTCGTGGGGGATGCTCTGTGATCAATTGAGTGTGGAAGAGAAGACTGGGGCATGGTTTACTGATGGTTCCACGTGGTATGCAGACCCCACCAGAAATGGACAGCTGAAGC